CTTTATACAACATATTTAAAACAATGTTCCCTCAAATACTGTTAACCAGGTATAATATGTGTTCTGGAATACTTTAAAATACAACGTTATTCCCAATGTACATAAATAGAGAATGCATATAAGAGATGTGCAAACTAGTAGGTAAAACAGAGCAGACCATTGTACCAGACATAATACATGATATTGTACATTTAGCACCTCTGTAACACAAACATGTATACATCTACTCCATGTAACCTCATCTGTTCTCTCCTTGTGACCACCACATGTAAACCCCTTTTGGTCCCCACATGTAAACACCTTTTGGTCCCCACATGTAAACACCTTTTGATCCCCACATACAAGACCCTTGTCATCCCCGCGTGTAAACCACTTGTGACCCTCACGTGTAAGACCCTTGTGATCCCCACATGTAAACCCCTTGTGGTACTCACATACAAGACCCTTGTGATCCCCGCGTGTAAACCACTTGTGACCCTCACGTGTAAGACCCTTGTGATCCCCACATGTAAACCCCTTGTGGTACTCACATACAAGACCCTTGTGATCCCCGCGTGTTAACCTCTTGTGACCCTCACGTGCAAGACCCTTGTGATCCCCACATGTAGCCCTTGTGACCCCCACATGTAAGCCTCTTTAAATCCCCTCATGTAAGTCCCTTGTGATCCCAATATGTAAGCCCCTTGTGACCCCCACATGTTAACACCTTGTGACCCCTACATGTGAACACCTTGTGACCCTCACGTGTAAGACCCTTGTGATCCCCACATGTAAGCCCTTTTGACCCCCACATGTAAGCCTCTTTAAATCCCCTCATGTAAGCCCCTTGTGATCCCAATATGTAAGCCCCTTGTGACCCCCACATGTTAACACCTTGTGACCCCTACATGTGAACACCTTGTGACCCTCACGTGTAAGACCCTTGTGATCCCCACATGTAAGCCCTTGTGACCCCCACATGTAAGCCTCTTTCAATCCCCTCATGTAAGCCCCTTGTGATCCCAATATATAAGCCCCTTGTGACCCCCATATGTAAACCCTTAATGACCCCCCACATTTATTTCCCTTGTGATCC